ACAAAATATCTTTCTACTATATTCTCTTTCTTCCATTTACGGTGATATATTCAAGGAGGTTTAAAAATATTATTATACCTCCTTGATATATTCATGATTGCAACAAGGAGCCTCCTTGATTGCAACATGATCTTGTAATTGAAAAAATGTGCTTCATGCTATTCTTTCTGTTGCGTTTTCATATAGTGTACTATACTTTAATAAATGGTCAATAAAATGTATCTTTGATTTTAATTGAATTGAATATTGTTACCATCTGAAATCTATTTCACCAGGAGCAATACCTGTCTCTTATACACATCTAGATGTGTATAAGAGACAGCATGAAATCATATAACAAATATATATTTTATTATCCATTTATTTTTTATTTTATAAACATGATCAGCAGCCAGCGCAGACGATTTGAAGTTACTGGTTTCATGAAGTAGGTGAACACACGTGAAGTGGTGAACTGCGCTTCAGCGTACGTGTTTGTACTAATAGCTAGTCGTCTATTTTAGTATCTGACCTACTTCTGTCTGCAATAATGTATCAAAAATGGAAATAAAACAAGCAAGAAATCACAAACCTTGTGTCATATTCGCCTTAAGAGTACCATGGCATTAAATATGTGGAAACTTTTCTTTCCACAATTATACTCCAGTTATGCAACTAAAGAAATAGGCCTATCAAGTTGAGTGATTTTCTCGGGCTTATGAATATAACAGAAGCATGAAAAGGCTTTTAAAATGATCAAAGTATTGATAATTTTATATGGAAAATATAAATATGGAAATACATATTTCCTTTACAATATTATTATAACATGATCAGAACATTTATGGTAAATGGAAACGTAACAGACAAGAAAAAAAAACGTATACGAAACTAATCTATTGACTATACTTATTCCATAGATTTTTATTTGATTCAAGCATTAATAAAAATTATATCAATATATGTAGCAAAGAACCAAAAAAAAAAACGTATCTCAAACTCGGTCAACTTCGTAACATCTGCGTTGTTTCTGTTAAAAAAAAGAAAAATAGCACCAAGTTATACAGTAATATTGTAACAATACTAATACTTTAATACTAATAAAAATAATTGTTAATAAACTAATGTTACAGTAATTTAAATAACAAATTGGCAGGTTTTTCCAGATACAATGTAAATTAAAAAAAATAATATAATAATAATAATAATAATAATAATAATAATAATAATAATAATATATAACATCATATCATGTTTTTCGTATTTATTTCATTTGCTGTATTTGTTATGTAGTAAAAGGCGTAGGATTCATAACAAAACGAAAATAAAAACAATAACAAACTTTAATACTAATAAAAATAATTGTTAATAAACTAATGTTACAGTAATTTAAATGACAAATTGGCTGATTTTTCCAGATACAATGTAAATAAATAAAAATAATAATATAATAATAATATTAATAATAATAATATATAACATCATATCATGAAAAAAAGTATGATAAACCGATTGACGAACTTGCAATGATAATTAGGCTTAGTTATATTAAATTTAGCGTTTCGAAACTCCATTGGCGTTCCATATATTTGTTGAAAACATACCGCGACCGAAATGAAGCGCGACCGAAACGAAGCGCGACCGAAATATGATCTGTTTTCGTCATTTTACTGTCAACTAGTATCCCCTGGTAGTAAACTAAAGGCTAGACTAGATAAGGGCCTACTATTTCGCTGCAGGCCTACAATGAATGTTAGAAGACCCTCCGCCTACCTATCCTAACTCGGCCTAGGCCCCTAACTAGCTAGGCCTTACTTACTGGGCTACCTAGAGGGAGCCTAGCGCTTACTTAGTATAGTAGTAGTAGCCTAGCTGGGCCTAGCCTAGCGTCAGTCCTTGTTTTTTTTTGCATTAAAACTCATGATTACTTACCGATAATGCTCCTACGCAATATCTGAAAATCTAGAGAACCTATCGAACGGGCTCTGGCTTTCCATGTAATGTTCCTTTTCCTCTCCATATCAATTTGGAGCACTTTTCATGCACTGTACTAGCAAAACACATAGGCCTAGGCCTAGAATTAACTAGAGAACCTACTTTATTTTGATGGGGCCTGAAGCGCGGGGCAAAGGTTAACTTTTTCCTAGTCTTGTTGAAAACGTCGACGAGAGAATCTATCCTAGCGACATTTATGAGACTATTGATAAGATTACGTCATCAGGAATTCTTCTACTACGTCGTCGCCTCCCCGCCGCGCCGTTCGTGGATTCATTGAGTTTTTTTTTGTGGTTTTGTTTTTTGTGCATGCGAACGAAGTCGTTAATGACCGTTTAGGGAAGGCCTAGGCTAGTACTACTTTAGCAATTGTTCCCGTTTCAAGCACGCTTTCACAGTTTTATTGAAGCTTGTATGCTAGGTAATTATGTTAAAATATTTGATTTCTATCATACTTTAATTTGTATTAATAACAATTAAAATAGCCTGGGGCTAGGCCTGGGGCCTAGGTTACTAAGAAGGTTGGCCCCAGAGCCAGGGGCCCTACCTAACTTGTACTAGGCCTAGTAGTAGCTAGTATAGTGGGGTCTCTAGTGTGGCCTAGCCTAGGCCTGACCACAGCTCATCAAACAGGCAAAATACTCTCACTTTTTGAGGGTCAGCTAGAGGCTCTCTGACCTTGGTGACTGATGTCCTGGCTCATATCTAGGATGTTCCGTCTAAATAACAACTCCCTGGTCTAGGCCTAGCCTAGGGCCTAGGCCTAACAACAGTATATTTTTCTTGAAGTTGAGGTAGGGCCTACTAGCGGAATTTAATTTTAACCTTCCTTTTTTTAAAAATTATAAATAGACAGATGAAATTGTAAATTACAGATTTAATTACATCATAACCAAGGTGGGAGAAGCAGCCAGGGTGCTAAATGTGGACCTCGTGAGCCTCAGGCAGGGTGATTTTTGTTTGCTTGTTGCATGTGAGGCCATCCCAATTTCCTACTACAGATTCCTGTGACTTGTTTCACACCAAAAATATCCTACTTTTACTGTATAGCAAGCATCCTCTTCTCCCAAACAATATTCTAGGTGTGTAGCTCACAGGCATGGGGTCAATTACAGTGAAAATGTAATAATTACAGTGAAAATGTAATCAATTACATTTTCACTGTAATTGTTTACATTTTTACTAATTAACCCCATGCCTGGTAGCTCAGTTGTAATCCAGTACCATTCAATTTATAGAATACGCTTTTTCAACGAATCGGTAGACATCTTGAAGTGATCTCCATAAAAAATTATTAGCATACGACCCTTATGGAGTTTTAAATATCATGAGGTCAAGAATTTTGCCTCAAGGCTTATCTTATTTTTGTTGGTTATGCACCACTGACTAATGTTGCTTGTCTACCGATTCATGAAAAAGGCGTTACCAGGTAGGCCTACCCACTTATTTACTGAAAAACTAGACCAGCAAATGCAAATTCCCTTAAGCCTTCATGCTTAATGGTGCTTAATGGGAAGTTACATTCTGTAATTACAGGGTGTTAAAGTGGTCCATTCTCTCCAGAACCCTCCCTACAGTACACTAATAATAAGAAAAGTCAATTCATTATTGAGTGAATACAAAAATAAGTAAGTAAAATAACTACATTTATTGTTGTTATGATTTCACATCAGTTTACAATAACAATAATACAGGTATTTTGTTAAAAGCTAAATGCATCTTTAAAAATAGCACAATCAATTAACTATTATTATGTGTAGTAGAAAGGTAGAATGCATGTATTATACAAATATTGGTTTCTAAACACCATTCATGGGTTTTCATTTGGTACTGAGTCTATTATCCACGTATAGTCTACCAGGTGATTTAGTAATTAATAGATTTAAAGAAATTACCAGATTTTTCAAATATTATATGCAGAAATACAGGATGCAATGCTTTGGAAATTAACACATTTATGATATAGATTGCCATAAACAAAAGAGCTCTAGATTAATTAATATTTTTGATGCATTATTTTCATGGTAATATCAAAGATCTATCAATTTGTATTATAATTTATGGTTGAAAAAGAAGAAAAAACTACAGTGGTGCAATTTGCTCCCTTTAAATAGCTATCATAATTATCATCATCACTCACCATTATATTAATTAATCATAAACCCCATAACTATCATGCTTCATCGTAACTCATCTTTATCATGATCTTCACCATCATCATCCTTATCCTTTACATTCTCATTACAAGCAACAGCTAGGTGAAGCAGCATTGACAAACATGAAGACAAAAGCCACATACATATTTCTTAACTATTACCGAAGGAAAAGCTTGTATCACAGAGAAGGATGATACCACTCCATGCATTGCCAATTGGCCAAGCATTTAGCCCAGCTATTTACTGCACCTAACAAGCCTTGACCTGAGTATAAGGCAGACAGAACATTAGGGCAAGCTCTGGTCAAATACATTGGAGGTGATCAGCGACATCTGGCTTTTCGCGTTATCGGTAGCAACACACAGCGACACATCACCACCCACTTTGAGACAATTCCATTGTTTTGGCTTTTGACAGGGCCATTGTTAGCAACATGAGCCTTACTGAGAAAAGAAATTGTTTTTGCTATCCAACACCAACTTCAATACAAAGCTTGAGTTCTGGGTTTGTCTAGCCACTCATCTTGTCTTTTGTGTAGCTATCAACCAATCATAATTAGCCTCACCCTCCTCATCATTATATACACATGGAAACTAATAATTGAATCTCTTCATTCTTCTGAAGATGATTACAGCTACAGTATCTTCTGAACATCAAACATTCTTAACGCATTAGTTATTTTGACCCATTTACTGTAACGTGGTGTATGCAAACATATTAATATTATTTGCATTATAATCATCATGTCATCTTCATTGCCATCTTAATCTTTATTATCATTCTTTTGTTTAATAGTTCTTGTTATTATGTACCATTTATTTCACTCATCATCATCATGTGCCATCTTCGATATGAAGATGAAGTCTCTCCATCTAATACGATTTTCTGCTGCTCTCTTTGCCTCCATGTAAGAAGTTTATTTGTTTCACTACATGCAGAATAATTTATATCTCATATTTTTCCATGTTTACAGTATGTGGGCAAATGACGACAAGAGCATAGTCATCTTACAAGCAGATCTGTATCATTGATACAATCATCATATTATTATTATTTTCAATAAAGTTTGTCTCTTACATGTTTTTCCTTTCTTTACAGGTTTAGATGGCAATTAGGCTCTCTGCTTCTCTACGTAAAAACATTCTCCTTACTCATTATCGAAAATCAGGGACCAATGCTTCAGTTGTCAGAGGGCGCTCTTCAACACTAGCAAGATTCGATCAACGTATTCAGGATGCACTACCTGAAAAGTTGAGGGGATTATGGAATCATCCAGCAGGTAAACATACATAATTTATAATGGAAAGAGGGGTTTTGTGGAAAATGCAGAGTGAACCACATCTCTCTACCACCACCCATCCCCCACACATGCACCTTTGGCTACATTACTGGTTGTTAGCGAATACTGTACATTAAAATATATTAAAGCGCCTTGAGGCAGTTATTACTGTGGAAGGCACTATAAAAATACACGACCATTGGCCATTGAGTTTTTTATACATTAAACTGCATATAATGCGTGCACTGTAATTACATGTTCCTAATTTTTTATAGGATTGAAGACTATACACTTTTGGGCACCTTCATGGAAATGGGTAAGTCTATTGTCGAGAGCACATTACTTGTAATTCAAACCCCTTAAAATATCATGGAACATGCATCCTGATTATCTTCCCAAATTAAAGTGTAAATAGGGTGAAATAGACTGCGACTGGGGCCAGTTTGGCCTAGTCCTGCTTTTGTAGGCCTAATTGTGAATTACCAGTAATGATTATTGTATTCAATGATTAATAGCCTTCGAAGTCAATAATCACTTAATCTTGAATCTAGAGCATTGAAATAATTGATTCATATTGGAATACTGTATACTATGAATGTTGTATTATTAGGACACGTTAGAGGTCGCTTTCTGAACTGCTTTATTTTCCTGCTCCATCAATCATAGTAATCATGTTCAACAATGCTGACATTTGAGTCCAGTATATCACTTTGTTTTTGCTTCTCAAGGCCTTGGGTGCCATTTGCTGCTTCTGATATTCTACAATAGGGACATGAGAAGTGTTGGCAATGTATCAGCAGAATACTAAGAAGCAGATGTAGGAGGAGAGGATACAGTTGATAATTGTAATGAGTACAATGCACTAGTTATTGAGTAACTTCACCCTTCAGTGTATACGGGTCATCATGTCATTCACGCCAGTCTAACACTATGAGGAGGAATTGTCGTTGCAATTTTCCTCCCCTTCCCTACCTATTTATAAATTATGAACATAAATAATGGTGATTAATAGTTTGACGTCTTTGTAAATGTCATTTTAAAAGTTGTTAATACAGTGATTTGGTATTTATATTCTGCTTTGAAGTTTACAGTATTCTTATTTATTTATCTGACATAGGCACTTGTAATTGCTGGTTTAGCTGACTTGGCCCGACCCCCAGAGGCTCTCAGTGTTAGACAGTCCGGTGCTTTGGCTGCTACAGGTAAATGCTGTTGCATATTATTTTGATTTCATCTACAAATTAACATCAGTTACTGTACTAATAGCTAATTTGTTGACATGATTGTCAGCCATATAAAAATAACAATCTAAACATTGATAGTAATTGTTATTGTCGTGATGGAATAATAAACAATAACTGGATTTGTGTCAGGAGAAACATGTATAGGTGTAATTTTTGCCCTACCTGACGTGGAAATGTACCGAATACTCAGTACATTTGAAAACAACTGCGAAAAAAATCGCAAGTTGTTCTCGGGTGGGACTCGAACCCACGATCTCAAGATCACTAGCCTGGCATCATACCTCTAGACCACCGAGCTTGCGCCTGATGGCCAGGGTTGAATTCGAGTCCAAGTAAGCAGTGGGTACTGCAGTGTTGAAAGTAATTGTTATTGTCGTGATGGAATAATAAACAATAACTGGATTTGCATTAGGAGAAACATGTATAGGTGTAATTTTTGCCCTACCTGACGTGGAAATGTACCGAATACTCAGTACATTTGAAAACAACTGCGAAAAAAATCGCAAGTTGTTCTCGGGTGGGACTCGAACCCACGATCTCCAGATCACTAGCCTGGCATCATACCTCTAAACATTGTAAGCATCAGTTCTGAGACAACACTGATATACAAGTGTGTAATGTAGCCATGTTGGGGTAGGGTTAATTTTACATGATGTTGCTGTACAATAGTATAACTTTTTTGATAAGTATCATACTCAAATTTCTGTTAGCAAATATAATGGTTGTGTGTCTATTGGGGGAAAGTACTGTAGTGTCACTTGAACATTGTGTTGCGGTTGTAATGAATGGCGCGATGAACAACAATATAGCTGCACAAAGCTTTTAAAAGCATAATGAAACATTGTAAAGTATTTTATCAATACAAACCTAAAGGGACATTTATTTACATTGCTTTTAAATAATACAAGTATATATATCAAGGTATCTCAATTCAGTTTACAGAACTGAATTGAAGAAAAAGTTAACAAAATAGTACATTAAACAGGAAATCATTCTTAATATTCATTATTATTAGTATAACAATTATTACATATATAAACAAGTGAGGTAATTAAAATATTCGAAGTTCTCATAAAAATTTTTAATTTAAAAGATTTAAAAAAGACATTTAAAATGAATTAAAAATTTAAATGACACAAATTACAACAAACAGTTATCAGAACATCAAAAAGTATGAAGGTGAATTCAGATAAAAATGTTTAAGCTACAGTGACACAAGACGGTACAAGGGACAGTTTAAGTACAAACTTAAAGTAAAAATTCTTTACAAACTTAATAGCACATATCTGATTAACATTTATCTCATGTCAAGTAGGTATTAAAGGATAAGCTCTGTACAACAGTCACAGGAATATAATTGTCATATATTTTATAATAGGAAATTTGTAAAGATACCAGTATATAGTTACATGTGTGAAGAAATTCTTTAATCTGGTACTGGTACGTTTAAATGTCAATCAAGAAATTATTCAAAAGCCTGATAAATTATACAGGTATACAATTGTCAACAGAGATATTCTTGTACAGTTATACAGGAAAGTTAAAATGTTTGTTAAAAGATACACCATCTGTTATAAGATTCAGAAATTCACTGAAACACTGTTCTTATTTCGAGAATTAAAAAACACACAAAAATGTTTTAAATCTATACAATAGAATATAGGAAATGTAATAATATTTGGTCTAAGGACTAAATTTATTGTGTCCTGCATTAGTTTATGATGTTGTGTTTTTCTTTAAGTACCAAATTTATTGAAATAAACGCCCCGGGTGTTTATTGTTGAGAAGGGTTCTTGAGGCTTTTATTCAAGGGAGGCTTTTTTTTTTTTTTTCTTGTGAAAAATACATATGTATATACTCAAATAGACCCTCTTTAATTTCACTGTAAAGGTTGAACTATAACACATAATTACCACCACAATGTGTTATAATTCAGACCTTTAAATACAAATAGCTCTCTTCCATCAAGGAGCCTGTCCTCAGAATTTTGCAAAATCTGTTAAAATCAGTGACATTATTTGAAGGAGAGGGTGGTCCGGTTAGGAAAAAAAGTATTTTTTTCGATTGGAATTTTTAATTTGGAGCATTTTTAGAGGACCATAACTTCAAAAATAACAACAGAAAATGTCAATTTCGCATCAAACCCATGTAAATAAACATTGTTTTATTAAAAAGGTAATGAGTCAGTTTTATGCAAAATTTGATTAATTTTGATTATGAATGTTTCAAAATACATTTTTGTCATTTGTTTTAGTTTTCTGGTGAATCAAGGAGCGTTATTTTTGCTCTACTTGGATCGTTTTTAGAAGCACGAAGGAGCTCCAACTCGATTGCGCTAGTTTTAAAAGGTCTGGTTTTTGCGTGAACATACAGACCTATCGATTCTAACCAGGTTAAAATAAATGTAAATCTACTGGAGTAGAATAGAACGTGTTGAGACCCAGAGCGTTAATTCGATGGAGGCGTTTATTCAAATGAGGCTCCGGATGGCCATTTATTCGAGTGGGACATTTATTCAAATAAATATGGTACTGTATATAAATCTTTAAATCATTATCATATTTTTTATTGTTTACAGGTATGATTTGGTGCCGTTACTCTCTTGTAATTATTCCAAAAAACTACAACCTCTTCAGTGTAAATTTCTTCCTGTGTCTAACTGGTGGAATTCAACTTATACGAATCTATCTGTAAGTCTCAACATTCTCTTGCAATTATTGCAGTATGTCATGAATTAATAATAATTTTCCAAGATGATTATTAATTTAAGATCTTTCATAAATTAATGATTATCTTGGAAAATAGTTGTCAAGTTACAAAGTTGTACATCTGCCACTAAAACAAATAACATTTTTTACTACCACATTGAGTTCATATTGTTATACTGTATAATAGTTAATACTGTGTATTAGAGTCTGATTTACACAGGCAAAGTAAAGAAATAAATAGTGGTGTAGTACAAGTTTTAAAATTTTTAGAAGCAGTATTTTACACTAAATACTGAGATGGAAATAATTGGATCCGTCATAATTATCTAAAGTTAGTTTGAATGGACAGTTTTGCTGTGATTGGTTCTGCTATTAGTACAATAATGGTATTACTAACAATTTCTATGATGTTACATATTTTTAAATGTTTCAGATATGAGCAGCGTTTGAAAAAGGAAGCTGTTAGCAGTTAGGGTTTAGTTGATTTCCATGGCAACTGACCAAGTTAGGGTTTAGTTGATTTCCATGGCAACTGACCAGGTGTCGCTATATCATGACAGTTGATTACTGGAGAGTTCTTGTCTTGTATGCATTGGAATGACTGCTATTCAGAATATTTTATCTGGTGTGCATGTAGATACAGTCAATTTTATGGATTTTGTGCATGAAGAGTTGCAAGTTGTTTTTTTAAACACAATCGCGATTACAAATTGATATGTATTTGTAAAGAGGTGGTGGTTTTAATCAATTAATTAAATCATGTTAATGAAATTGAATACTGAAATAATGGTAAATGCATATTTATATATTTGCTTGCAGTGGTGAGTTGTGCTTATGGAGGGAAATTTATTTTTTCTAGACCTTTTACTGACTGTATTGTATTTTAATTTACATGAAGACTGGTTTACTACAAGATAGAGAATCTTGTACTTTTTGCCAGACTGCAAACATGTTTATTTATTTATTTATTTATTTCGGTATAAAATACATTTTGTTCTCAAAATCATGCAGACTTCTCAAGTTAGTAAAATGCATTTCCATAACTATGTCTTCAGTTGTCCGTAGTAAAATGAAAAACACCTCATAATTTGCCTTGAGTTCAGAGTATGGGTTGCTCAAAATTGCAGGTAGGCCTACAGTATAACAATGGCTGTTGGCTGTAGAATTTCAAACTGGACGGGGTTTTGATTTATGGGTCACTTTTTTGGGGAGTTTTACACAAGTCTGGGTGGTCTAGGGTCCTGATGGAAAAATCATTGTCCTGGACATTAGACAATGTGTAGAACTATATATTTCTGGGTCTAGGACTAATGACAAATTTCTGTATTGTCTGTTTACTGTACCGTAAATCCTTGAATAGAAGCCCAATGGGCTTAATCTTGAGAAGAAGCTCATCTGGAATTGAATCCCCCTCTTTACTTTGCAAAAGTAGCCTTGAAAAGAGCCCAATTGAAAAGAAGCACATTTTGAAAAGAAGCCCATCCTAAGTACACAAAAAAAAAGAAGCACATGTTGAAAAGAAGCCCATCTTAAGTACACAAAAAAAAAGAAGCAGCCCAGGCCGTCTGTTCTAGGTTTTACGGTATTTCCGTAATACGTCCATAATTGTGCAAAATTTCCGTAGCAACTAATGACGTTCCATAGAACTTGAGAATTCTGAATCATGATAATTTATCTTGTGGTTTTGACAACACTCATTAGCAACACCTATTGTATAGCTTTTGAATATTGGCAACAATAATGTACCTTTCTGGTAAACCCAGATCCTCAGATATTGGGCATTATAGTACTGACATTAGCATTAAAGTTGGCAGAGTTTTGTGATATGAGCCAGTGATATTGTAGAATATTGATGTCTTGTTAAATAGTACATACAAAGGTTTGAGAAGTGCAATGTATAAACAAAAATCATATGTCCCAGGCTGTTACATCATGTATAATAATATCCTATTTGTATTGAGAATATTTTGGAAATTACATTTGAGATGGAAATCTTGTAAAATATTATTATTAACAATCCAATTGGTTGGTGATCATTGAGGGAATGATTGCAACTGTCTGCCACCAACCTCTGTGTCTTTTTGATCAGACATAGAACAACAATCATTTATTTTAACAATATTAACAATAATATATTTATGACCAGCAGCTTTCGATCCACTTACTTGGACCATCTTCAGCTGAATGATATTAGCATAGCTAATGAATACATAACTTATATTATTAATATTTTTTCACAATTATTATTTATTTTTTTTAGTATAATAGGAAGTACATTTTATTAATTGGAGTTTGTTCACTATTAACTTCTACATAATTATGTTGAATAGATAATTGTATTTTTATTAGCTTACAATCTTGAAATATATTTTCTTATTTTCCTTAAAACCATGTGATATTTACAAATTTATGTTCTGTGGATGTATGGTAGCTAAAGATGGAAGGGAAATAAATCATCTCATTTCTTGAGTGTATATGAGGTCAGTATGAACATAATATTTTGATGTGTTGATTTATGACAGTATTGAAGTAGTGGTGATGCTGATGATGTTGATAATGATGAAAAATATGTTAATTATGATGATCAGAGTATATGGCAATGAAGTAGACTACTATTTATGATTATAAGCAGTGGTGGCGCCAGAATTTGTCTGACAAGGATTAAGATGAAGGGGGCGGGGTGATACCCCTGGTGCCTAGAATACTGGGCACCAGGGATGATACCCCTGGTGCCTAGAATACTGGGCAGTTTTGGCTTAATTGAAGCTGTTCTGTGACGTGAATCCACTGACCCTTCCCCTTTTGGTGGTGCCATTGTTTATAAGCAGATATGGCAGTGGGGATGACGATGGTAATGGTCATATTCTTGTACATGTCTAGATTGCATCATAAGCGTGTCATGGCGCCAGAAATTTGCCGACAAAGGGTCCAACGGAAGGGACCGAACCAAGGCGACGGCGAAGCCTTGTCGACGGCCCGGGGAAAAAAATCCCTGTTAGGGGTTCACGGGGAGAGTTTTTATGGCTTAAGTTGGTCCTAAATGTGCTTTAGACCACAATATTAGGGATTGCCAATCAAAGTAAATAAATAGTTATTTAGATAGGCAAATTATTTTTACATTTTATTTTTTGGTCCGACGACCTGGTCGATAGTCGGACCGTCCGGACGACAGGGGGGTCAGGCCTGTCTGGCGCAGCTACTGAATGGCACGTCGTTCACTTGCATTGTAACACCACACAATCACGTAAAGCAATCCTTCTCACACTTTTTCTACAACTGTTGCTGTTATAAATCATGTAATATATGAGATCAATTATACTAATATAAGCCTAAACATTTTTTCAAAGCTTTATTATTATGAAAATGTACATTAATAACCAATGAATGGGTACAAGAAGCACCTCGAGGTTGTGACAACGTGAGGCGCTATATATACCCAGAATTATTATAAAAAACAAAAAAGGGCGCCCTCTATCAAGTACAATCTAAAAACTGTACAGTGCCAAGTGTCATTTATTTGGAGACATTTTTTACAGGAAGAAGTGATGGAAATATGTGCACATTTCCATAAAATACTGATTAATAACTGAAACCTATCAAAATTATTAAAACTACATGCAGCTGAGTGGCGCACCTACAACAGACATTTTCTAACATACTAGTGCATCAAAACTATTACAAGCTCATTCTTTCCAGAATCTATGGATTTACGGAATCCTCTACCTCAAGGAGTCACACCACTAAAGATGTCACGTCTGCGAATACGATAATGGGGGATGACTACCAGGTCTCTTACCCTGATAGCAAAAGTTATGTGCCTTTATAAGTCAATGACTAGGCTCAAATGGGAATATTGAGGTTGCTCTTGTGTTTGTCTTCATCAAAAAGATAAAGATCGTATTAGAAACTTCAAAGGTCTATAAGGCTGTTTGTCTGGATTGAGGAGCAAGTCCAGGGGTCCAAACTTGGAACAAGCCATTCACCCGGGAGATAATGGTAATGATCTTAACACATCTAATTTTATTTTTCTCTGCATGGTGATACCCATCGTCGCCGATTTTCATGAGAAAATCGATAAATAAAGTAGAAAAACCGCGCAAATATTATGCATTGCAAAAGATGGGTCGTTTTCCATGAGATTCCTGCTGCATGCTTGCGGGAGGCCGTCCCGATTTTCGGAAAATCCAACGACTTGCAGGAGATTTGGGATCCTTGTATGTCATATTGGTAAACAAAACTTTAGGGCGCTGTTTTACAAAATTGCTTTTCCAAAGATTTGAGTATCGGAAACCTAGCAGGCATTCAAGTTCGAAAGAGGCGATAAATAAAGTAGAAAAACCGCGCAAATATTATGCATTGCAAAAGATGGGTCGTTTTCCATGAGATTCGTGCTGCATGCTTGCGGGAGGCCGTCCCGATTTTCGGAAAATCCAACGACTTGCAGGAGATTTGGGATCCTTGTATGTCATATTGGTAAACAAAACTTTAGGGCGCTGTTTTACAAAATTGCTTTTCCAAAGATTTGAGTATCGGAAACCTAGCAGGCATTCAAGTTCGAAAGAGGCATAGGCCTATACTGTTAGGGTTGTTAATGATAGGAATTCCTTACCAAATATAATGATAATAACTTTATACTTTATTCACGGGAAAACTTGACTCAACAAAAATTTAAATATAGTAAGTGCAACGGTAACGACGGTTGGTCGTTACAATTTACTTACTGAAATCATACCGTATACATTTGTGAAGTGGAATAATAATAATAGGTCTATAGATCGCGGCTGATTTTTCAGCAGGAAAAGTTTAGTATAGGAGAACCGCCTGATAGTACTTGCACTTTTGGCAATCCTCAGGTAATGAACATCTTATTTTTTGTATGTTTTGTCTTGTTGCTTTTACCTTGATATTGAATAAATGATATGAATGAAATCAAAACAGTATACGTATTGGCAAACATTAATTCTATAAAAATAAATATACAATAAAATTTAAAGATAGACCAAGAAGATAGTTTTCAACGTCAAACCAATCCAACAACATAACCTTCACTCAAAGTAAACGGCAAAACCACTCTCTTCAACTTCTTCCTGGATGGTGTCGTTTGATATTTGGAATAATTTCTAATCTGATTGCAGTGCGTTAACCACAAAACCAATCCAAAAACATAGCCTAACCCTCACCCAAATTACGGCAAAACCTGACTCTCGTCAACTTCTTCGTGGATGGTGTCGTTTGAAAATGGAATTTACAACTTTGTACAGGTTACTTGATATGTGGGTCGACCTGTCACGACAAAATTGGTCCGGGCCAAAAAAGGCCGGCGGACAGATTTTGGCTGCAAAAATTGGTCCGCCGGACTGCTAAAATCGTAACCCGCATCCTGCTGCTCGCCGCAGGGTATGATTAATTCTCCCGTGGAGTGGAGGAAAGTAATTTAGGCTTCTCCCACACTTTCTAAGTTTATTTCAGTGAGATGATTCGTATTAAGCTTTTGAGGACGTGTTTTATCAAACCCACCTGATAATGCATTTCCAGGCCATCTAGATACCACTGATCTCTGAAATAGATATTATATAATTGTTACTGTGAATGAGAGGTTATACGGTTTTGTCGTTTTTCCTTTTGCTGTTCTGTTTTGTATATATATTTATGCAAGTTATACCTTGTGCTGTGTTTTAATGACATTTTATAATTTAAGTCAATGTTTTATTTCCGATGTCTGAACGTGTTTATATATTAATATGTAATCATTAACTATACGGCGGCCGTGCCGGTTAGGCCTAGGACGAAACATAAGACTAATTTATTAGTTTTAAATATTCCGTATTATTGTGTGGGGTATCAGATCATACAATAGATGTTCTAATACATGAGAATACAGGGGCCCCAGTAATTTCTTAGAATTGAATGCTCATGCTCATGTTATTTCGTTGCGGTGTTAAGCAAGCACAGCACACTACCAAAACAAGGTAAAAAAATAAACTAAAGCGGACCAACACGATTTAAGACCACATCGTTTACCTTCTTTTCTTACTTTTACACAGGCTGTTTAGAGAGCAGCTTAGCTCAGTCGGCTAATCTGGTGGTAGCCATTGTGTGTGCGCTGAACCGTGGAGATCTCTAGGTCTCCGGTTCAATTCCCATCGCTGCCTCTCCTTGTGTTTCAGCTGGAGGGCTGAAATACAAGTTACAATAGCGCACCGTCCTTCGGATGAGACGTTTAAGCCGTTGGTCCCGTGTGCATTTATGGCCCAAGTGCAGTTAAAGAACGCAGTACACTCTTCGGAAAAGAGTAGGGGATTGTCTCCCGGTGTACTGCCCAATCACCACCAGAAGGACCCCACTGGAAATAAGTCTTCTTCTAGACTTTCGTGGGCTATCCTTGGTGTTTACATCGAATAAAACCAATACTGGGCGCGAAGAGAAAAATAACAAATTTTGGTGGCTGTATACTCAATTTCACACGCAACAAATAAAAACATATTCCTATATAATGAGAGATAATTGATATAGGCCTATCATTTGATTAAAAGAAAATTATGAACAAACGTTATAAAAATACAAGTTATAAACTACTAAATAGACGCCGGACCGATTTTGGCTTAATTATGTGGACATTTATTTGTGTACCATTGGATCTGATGAGGCTATGCAACTGCTAGGAGCGCCGCTTTGTGAGTGGATAGACCTATTCTTTTATTACTTAAATAACGTCGCAAATTTCATAAATATGCCCTACTATAACAAATTTACGTAGAAATTTACCAAATTGGAAAAATCACGTGTGATACAACCAAGCTATGAGCGCGACGTCATCTTCCTAAACTTTTCATTGATTCTCAAATGTCATTTTGTTGTTTTAAATCGCATTCTCTACTTCACATGTAGATTTGAGTTCTTGGATCAATGACAGAGTCCATCTAAACCCTAAGGGTACTCTAAAAGTCAGCTGCCGCTAATATCAAGATTGTAAATTGTCATATAAATGCCCTTTCCATGATGGTGGTTGGAGTCAAGTCGAAACACATTCATCTCGGAATTGTTGTGCGATATGTAATCCATCGGATGATGACAATTATTAAACAACTACTGTATATGTTTCTGATACATACGTTGAAATATGATAAAAATTATATTGATGATAATGATAATGATGTCATCCAAGGGCAGGCCAAAATCGAATGTCTAGGTGGGGGTCCAGCTACTGACGACTTTTGGTGAATTTTACTATAGTTATTTGATAAGCATATGCTACTGTTGTCGAATATGACTAGACTTCATTGTTGCAATATCCAAACCGAAGTCAAATTCGAGGTTGCTTCTACAATCACAATTAATTATAAATGTCATGAGAGTATCCAAGATGAAAAGCTAACACAAATAGCTCAATTAAGAAGATACGGTATGATGCTAGGCCTAAACGTAGATTAGTAGCTATTCACCGACAAGGGATCAGTAACACAGCGTACCGGAACGGGGCGGTAATGAAAAGAATA